AAAAAAAAAANAAAAAAAAAAANAAAAAAAAAAAAAGAAAAGGGGGGGGCTCTCTTAGATTCCCGACAAATATTTACAGGCTCGCACACGAGGACAAAGACTGATAGCCAAAGTCGTCGAAAAACTCGCGGGTGGCTCTAGAGCAGTCCATGTTCTTCGCATTCCTGTTATGGAAGTTTTTATTTTTTTGATATTTTTTTGATAGCCGTACCAAGAGGCCAAAAGTGTGATGATCCCTACTGCGATTTCCTAGCTTCTCGAGCTCCTGCTTGCGTGGCAAGGTAAGAGGTTCGTGAGCTCATAACATCAACTATTGAGGCAGAGCTGTTCAGATCATGTCCCTGCCCGACAGGATCCTGGGACGAAGACATCTTTTTGCCTGGTTCGAGGCTTCCAAGCGGCTGCAAAGCTCATGAGGAGTGAGGGCTGAGATACGCAGCTCCATCCGCTACGGCCATGTGTATCCACAGAATTTGTTGCGAGTCTTGCCTGAGGCTTTTGGATCAAGCTGATAATATCAGGCTCTGTAATGGATGGACCATCTCAGCGCTGTGATTTCCATACCTAGCACGCCGAGGACTTGCGAGGGGGTGAGAGAGTGTGTGCTTTCGACTAGACATGGAAAATGCTTGGAGGAAACCTGTAAGCGGCATGTCCAGAACCTCACCCGATGTCCAATGGGGGGGGGGGGCGTGGGTGCAATCCAGGTTGGCTGGCCGCACAGTAGTGAAGGGCTGGAAAGTGTACACACTAGACAGGTCTCCGCTTTCCCTGCAATAATTCAGCAAACGAAATAACCTGAGATGGTAGCAAAAGTGAAGTACCAACCTCATCGCATCAAGTAGGTAGACAGTGACACGCTCATGATCGCAAATCTTCCATAACATCCTCACCTAGATCATCGATCTCCAGGAACCACCCCTCCCGAATCGCCCTGGCTCGCGTGGTATCGACATCCTTCGTTCCTGGGAGTACCGTACGCACGACGGCAACATGCTTGGCGCTTCTCGCTACCATCGCTACCATCGCGACACTCTCGAAATCCTCACCGGCTCCATCTTCAGCAGAAGAATTCGTCCTCTCTCGCACACTGGCTTTCGAAGATCGAGAATTCGCAGAGCACTGAGATATTGCCCGCGTCCATGCTTCTTTGTTTGATTTCAGCTTCGCCTGGATTCCCTGCAGCTCAACTATCGAGTCTGTGGTGAGGGTCCTGGGACTTGCAGCGTCGTATACATTGCAATTCAATGTTGCGATATTCTCTGAAGCTTTTTGGAAAATCTGAGTGTTCAAGGGCTCTAGCATTGGTTCCGGAGGTGGAGATCGGGTTATGGCTAGACCAATACCGTTAACATCGGGATCAGATGCCATATTCATTTCCGAAAAGTCAGAAACTGCATGTATAGGTTGATCAACGGCTACAGTTCGGGGCACTGGCTCCAGTTTTGGTCGAGCGACGGACCTGGACCTCTTCGGCTCAAGACCAAATGCTAGGTCGAGCTGTGAAAAGTCGGACGCCGCATGTTTCGGGACGCTGGGGCTATCGAGCAAATATAAATCGTTTCCTGGGACGTTCCCGACTCCATCACTTGGTCCTCTTCCCCTGGCAGGGAGGGTCCGCCGTGATTCCTGGAATGGCCCGTTCTTTGAGCTCTTAGGTTTTTGTAGGAACGGCTCAAGCGAAGCATCGGTCAGGTCCGCGCTCGTGAGCTGTTCGTCACCGAGCGTTTTGCGCCTGGGAACATTGGGCAGTCGGTGTATCGGGATATCTCGATCAACTTCTTTCCTCGTTTCGGAATATAGGTCATCTGAGCCTCTGATTGATATCAAGGGTCGGTCGATTATTGCTGTGAAAGCCCTTTCTGCTCCCCGAAGGTCTACAATCTCTGATCTGTGACTGCCCGGGCCCGAGAACAGACCCTTCTTGACCCTTATTAATGCAGGTTTCCAGACCGAATGCTTTCTGTACACCTCTGGCTGCTGCGGCATTGCAATTGGACCGTCTCTTCGAGATTTGCTGCTGGGTCCGAACATTTCAACAAGATGCGAATTTATCACTCGTTGATTCTGGACGATTTTCTAATCAGGCCGAAAGGTATACACTGGCTCATAAAGGAGAGAAAGAGGGGAAGAAGAGGAGAAGAAAAACAAACGAGTGTCCGTAGAAAACCTGATATCAGATTGTTTTCCGTCGAGCGTCCAGGATAACGAAGCTCTTAAACGGATTTCGGAGACGACGTAACTTATCAAGTTATCGAGTTATCCTAAACTTAGAGTCGGCGCTACCACCAAGAATCTAAAAAAATAACCAGTTTCAAGAGTTCTTGATTATTGATTGCCGATCTCTTCATGGAACGATGTGCTATTTCGACCTGCGGATACTATATTTGGCTTGGTTTGCATGCGGAGTAGGCCGTACCCCTGCGTTTTGACTTGATATAGATATCTACCGGTAGTTGTATATCGTCGTATTCTCGATATTCGCCCGTACAACCTCAACAATAACAATTGTCGATTACGGCTACCGGCTGCCTTCGGTCTAATTCTGTATTGCTCTTATTATTATCACCCTCCCGGAACAAATATCAGCGTAGCCACGGTACTGTAGCACAAGCCAAACCACAGCAAACCCTTATCCGTGCTATCCCTGGGGTCTTGCCTTCTACTCAATGAGAGGGTAAGTTTTATATTATCATCGCACTCATGGGCGCCACATGAGTGTTAGTTGCATGTACTTCTAAACTTAGCTTTTTTTTATATACGTATTTGCAGCGAAAGGACTCTCCACTTCTTTGTCAACCCAGGCCAAGGCCATGTTGTTTAACCCAAGCAAGATAACTAAGCTTCCGAAGTCCCGTCTTAAAAGTCAATTTGGTTGACTATTTATACCTCGAAGGGTAGTGCTAGAGTTTTTGGCCAGATGATCATCCGATCACGATCTCTCTTAATAACGGTCCTAAGAGGCTGGCATAGCTAGGTAATAGATCTCTCCAAGCCAATACTTAAAATTAAAGTCAAGCTTATGGTTACATCATTTCCAAAATTTAAATGACAGCGATATGCAACCGATTTGATCGATTGAATCGCAATAAGAACTCGTCTCTTCGGTTAAAATACCGTCGTAGGACGGCTACGACGGTCCCCAGCGTTTTGGGACCGTTTGAAGACCGTCTCAAAGCCTTCCCTAGACCGTCCCCAACGGTCCTCGAGCCGAAAACCGTCCCCGAACTAGATTAAATCCCTTCTATTAAGAGCCACTTTGGTCCGCCTTCTATACTACTACCGGTAACTGAGCAGTCAAATACTGTTTTTGGATTCCAATCCGCCTTTGGCCCGACAGGTTTTAGAGCTACTCTGGTCCGCGCCAGGTACTACTCGGTAAGTGGGGATTTAAAACCTCGGATTTGATTTCAAAACTCGTTGGGTTCACCTTGTTTCAGAAGCCATAATCAGAAGCCAAAACTTACCAGGAAAAAGGAAAAAAAAAAAAAAGAAGAGAGAGAGAGAGAGAGAGAAAGAGAGAGAGAACGTTTTTGAATCCCCATACAAAAAATCGAAAAAATCTTACTCCTTAAGAACAGAACCTTTTTGTCATCAGACGAAAAATATCCTGAATACCTGACAGCGTCAAACTCTCTCACGTGGCCTTCTCGACTCGATCTTGCCTCGCCTTTCAACATTTTCATACATAAAATTATCGTTAGGTGACAAGGAAGCGAATATTAGTAGCTAGCAAATAATTTCCTTACTGAGTATTGGTTTTTCTAATGTAAATTCGCACGTACATGTCGCAATCATTGTCTATCAATGACGAAATTTAGCGCGAGCCTTTCGCTTCTTCGTCTCAACTTTTAAATCTTCGATTGACTTTATCATTGTTTTTGCCCCCCCCCCCCCAAAAACTAAGAAATAAAAATATTGCAGAAAGAAATAGGGGGGTTGATAAAAAATCTCGTAATGGAACGAGGTTTTAAAACCCTCGCAAGCAGACGAGTGGGGGGTCGAGTTTCTAAATCCTGCAAATACTGGGTTCCACAACTGGGGCCTTTGAAAACCGAGGTTTTGGCTCCTCAACTACCGGTAGTGTAGTATCTGGCGCGGACCAGAAGCGGCTCTAGCCTTCCAAACCTTGCTGCTGTCTGTCAAGTCGAAGCGGGAAGATACATATATATATATATGTATATAAGGTATATATGGTATAGCAGGTTACCAGTACTTTTATTCTTCTGCCTGACCTTCAGCGAGTTGCTATGCTATCGACGGAATTGAGACCAAGGTAGCAAGCATACAGCATACCTTAGCTGCACAAGACGAAAGGTACCGTATGCGCGCATGGATCCGGCCGCTCTACTAGAACAGCTAGCTTGAACCGCTATACTTGTGTTATAGATAATATAGATCGTGAGAGTTGCTTCGGTGCGTCGAATCAGAGAGAGAGAGATACTATAAAGATTTGACAGCGGTACTCATCAAGCGAAGCAAGAATCTAATCGGTCGAAGAAAACTCTGAAACATTTGTTGATTTATCGTCGCGAGGAGATTCGTTCTCGAATCGCTGGATGCTTCTTGAGGTCGAGGTACCTAGCTATGCAAAGATGTGTGTTCCCATCGTATAAGGTCTCGGTAGCTGCTGTCTCCAGCGAGGACGTCGCGGGAGACGAAAGCCATTTTGAAGGTAGTGAATATGTCTGACGTGATTAGGTATTGATGCGAGGGTTGATTGTTACTCTGGCAAAATCAGCTGAGAGCGAGGTCTATGATGCCTTTTGTATAAAAAGAACGGCGAGACCAACGCCTGTGCATCCCCTGTCTGCGTGGAAGAGCTAATGCACAATTCAACTACCTAGGACTGGAAAACAGAGCTGTGTTGCAATCCGCCGATCGGAAGGCGTTGAAGGCCTTGAATTGGCGCCAACGGCCGGAGTTCAGCCTCCTTTCGAGAAGTCAGAACTTTTCATTTGTAGAGAGAGAGAGAGACAAGCTCTTTTCGATGAATATTATTTGCCAAAGGATGCTCACAAACGAATCAACTGTACTCGCTTCCTGAACCTCCATGCAAATCTTGTTTGATAGCAATAGCACGCTCATCTGGATTTTGGGAAAAGTCCAGTCCCCAAATTTACGCCTTTGCTGTCCCATCGCGTCTAATACCACTCGTTGAGGACTGGTAGATGCCACTATATCCCTCGACCATTTCCCCCATCTCCTCGAATACAAATTTGTGCGAGCTTAGCATTACGATACCATTCGGGTTATTCACTTCCATTAAAGCTCCTATAGCACCTTCATATCCAGCATCGACGACTCCAGCACGGATTCCGGCAGCAGACCGCCACAGCGACGATCGAGGGAAGAGGCTCGTCATGCAGTTCGGGGGAACCTGCACCGTCTCGACAAGATCGACGAGATAGGCGCCTGGCTGGAGTGTAATGGCGAACTCCGTCTCGTGAAAGGGCAACACCCAAGACTTGGCTGCCTGGCGGTTTGTATTATCGAAATCATTTGGTGGCAGCGGAAGTCCACTTTGAAACTTGGTGTACGGTAAGGTCAATGCAAACGAAGATCAGCCCCCCAGAGAACACAAAGTGGCAGAAATAGATAAAACGATAGACATACCGGTAGTTCTCAGACATGTCGTCGGATCGGATGGCATGGAGTTTCATGGGAAGGCCGGTGTGGGTACATACTGGCTAGTGCTGCTGGGTCACATCCCGCACATTCCGGACCAATTGGCGGGAGACGACTTGGAGTCCGCTGAGAATCATTGCGAAGATATTTTGTTATTCCTTTGCACGTAATGGCTTGACTTGGACGGCGCTGCTGGCATCAACCAGATCCAGCTGGATAATTAGGTATTCGTAGCCTAGATTAACAACTCGTGCCGGTCACTAAAATAGATGCGATTAGCCAGCCTACTTGCGCTTGTATGGAAGGTGTACCTCACGAAAAATGGAGTTGACAGCAAGTCATCCTATGATGCGTCCGACGACTTTGGTTAGAAGGGTTTGAATCCTGAGGATATTACGGAGGTGAAGAAAGACGCCTTGTCTCGTCGTCGGTTGGCGACGATTTCGCGTAGGGTTGCTGAAGGGGTCTGGTGTTGAGCGTTGGGCTGATGTACCTATGCTCTAGTGGGGCGTACTTTAGAATACGCGTACGCTCCCCCAGCCCGTTCCAGCGATCCGGACCGCCGCCGGCTTATTACTGTATCAGTGCAATGGGTATCTAGGCGCCAGCTGCATAATTCGCAGTCAAGTTAGGCTTTATTTTCCATATGGCCGGAGGAGGTAGTACTTCTTTCTGCCTAATCTTCAGCGAGTGATTTCGACGAGATCTTTAACCGAAGCAAGACTCTGATCAAATAAACCACAAAACCTTTATCAATTTGTCGTTACGGAGGAAGGAGGAAACATGCTCTTGGACCACGAAGTGGGAGCGCAATAAGTAGCCGCTTCTCATGCTGGCTGGGCTGGTAACAACTTTTTGCTAGAGAGAAAGAATTGTGAGGAGGGGAGTATGTAATGAGGCTTTCCCGGGGACGAGGAGCAGCTTGAGTAGCGATGAATAAATGTCCCGGTAGCGAGGGAGGCTACCAAGTCATGAACCGTGTAGATAGATATCTTTGCAGTAGTGTCAATGAGAGTGACAACATAAGGATAAATCGATATCAATATCCAGCCAGGCCATTCCAGCTAATTACACCTAAGGTACTTGATGCTACCCACCTGCCAAAATCGCAGTCTATCTCAATACAGAGACTCCTGACTCCCAGCCTTCTCACATACCTTCTTCAACGCCTCCCCCGTCTTTTCAAAATCCCCAATGTCCAAGTAAATTTGAGCACTCAACCTCGCCCAGATCTGTCCCTGAAAAGCCCAAATCGGGATAAATGTATTCGAGTCCGCAAATAAAGTCGTTTGTATCCACCTTGGCACCTGGTCAAAAAGCTTCCGTTTGATCGTGTTCGTGCCTGCAACCTTCTCCTCGCCGATCTCCAGTGGCAAGCGAACATTAACGAGAGAGCAATCTGTCAAAGTATGCGTGATGTTGTCCAAGATTTCAGTCCCGAGAATCTTGGCTACGACTTTCCCACCTTCGCGTGCAAGGTTGGTGTTGTACTCGATGATGGCGGCTTCACCCCCGCAGACCTCTTCGCGCCATCTGATGGCTTCGTCGACGACGACGAAGTTGGTGTTGTCGATCGTGCCGTTGGCTTCGAACTGCGTGATGAATGTGCTTTTTGCAGAGGGCATGACGTTGAGTACGCCTTTGTCTATGATGGGTACGAAGCCGTGGGATGTAGGGAGAGACGAGCGTATCAATGCCTGGTTTCTCTCGGGGACGTAGAAGACGGCGCAGCCACGAGGAACGAAGAGCCATTTGTGAGCGTTGCTGACGAAGAAGTCAGGGTCTATGGCTGTCAGGTCGATTGGGATATGACCGACTCCGTGTGCGCCGTCGATGAGTGATAAGACGCCTTCTTCTTTACAGATGGCAGTGAGAGCCTCGAATGGCATTCGGAGGCCGGGAAGCGAAGATACGGTGTCGAAGATGGCGATTCGAGGTCGCTTGTACGCAGCTCGGGAATCCTTGATGGCTTTCCGGAATAAGTCGAGAAGGTCTGAATCTTCCATTGGATATGTGATGGCAATCTGACGAGGATTGACAACATTATGGGTGGCCTCGCATACATACTCAATAGTCTTTAAGCAGGCGCCGTAAATGTGCCTGGTATGTCAGAGTGTCATTCCAACGACACTGGTCAGATCAACCTACTTGAAATAAAGGATCTCATCCTTGCTATCTCGATTCCACACGATATTACGTAGAACAACGTTCACACCAGTAGTAGCGTTTGGTACAAACACAACAGTCGACGCCGGGCAGTTCAGAAGTTTGGCAATCGCTTCTCGGGATTTATCCGAGAGTTTAGGGTACGTATAACGAATATATATGTCAGGACGTGCTTCTCCTTGATCTTGGTATTCTCTTTGTTTCTCTCGGATTGCAAGAGGAGAGGCACCAAAGGAGCCTGAGAATGGAGTTTAGATGTGAAGAAGAAATGACGAGATTGAAATACCGTGGTTGATGTTGACGTAAGACGGATCGATTGAGAAATGCTTCAACATATCTTTTCCAAAAGGAGTCCGCCTATAAATCGGACTGGGAGATTGGGCTTCACCCATTTCGAGATGGAAATAGAAGATATGATATTCTAACAAAGACTCAGTGAGAATTGCTCAGAGTTCAAAGAGCGGTGGGCAGACAGAGAAGGGGAATGATAGGGAAATCAGAATATAATCGACACTTTCGCCCCTCTGACCCCCACTTGTAGGTGGTTGATTACATTTGTCGTTTGGAGCATCCGGAAAAGGTTTTTCCGTACATATCGGAATCGCACCGCTAATATTCAGTAATGAGTCTTAAATCTGCGATCTTACGATCAAATTTTGTGATTTTAATGTGATTTCTAATGCATTGAATACGTAAAAATCTTGACAGCTTTTCAATACTGCATTCAGACGATAATAGGCCTACTTCTCTCCGTAGAATCTTTCCATGACTCAGCTTCGCAGTGGAGGTGAATGAGGATTGAGTTTTAGTGGAGCTTATGCTTAAGCGAGCTTTCAGGGGTTATGACGCATGTCCCCGCGGTTCATCGAACATCGAACTCCGTAACAAATATCAACAACTCTTGACGACAACATCGAAAACCAGGCCGACGACACTGACGAAACCATACCATACGATAAATGTCTCTCCAACAACTATCTCGATTGCTTCCATTACCAGAACAGGATCTCCAACAATTTCTAGAGCACGCCGCAACTCTTGGCAAGCAAGAAGCCGCTGAACTCTTCAACAACCTGCTCGGAGAATCGCCCCAATCTATAGAATTTATCTCCTCCTTCAACTCTCGGCGCGCAGATCCGAACTCGAAACCACCATCTACAGCTCCAGAAACATCTGCAGCGCCTTCCAATGTCCCGAAAAGTAGGCGCAAGCCGCACAAGAAGGCAGCGCAGCTCCACGCCCTCCCCGCCCGCAAAGTAGAGAACAACTATGCCGCGCCAGGAACAGCCTATACCAAGAAGGACGAAGACGACTATATGACCCGAAAGCCCAACTCAGGTGCCTCAATACCCAACAATGCCTTCTCCCTCGATCCCAAACCCGCTGCCATCCAAGCCCCTACGCTCAGGCCGCCGCCGTCCGCAGCCGGTTCCCTAATATCAGACTTCAAGTCGAAAAGCACGCCTGGCACTCGCACATCGTCACCCGCTCCCTCCTCTTCCAAAGTTACGAAAGTGAACATCACAGGCGGTACATCCATGCACGGCGCCTCGACCGTCCTCACGGAACTCGACGCCGCGATCCGCTCCCTCGAGATCAGCACCAACAGCTCGCTCCTCTTGCCGGTGGAAAAGCGCGCCTGCAACTGTATCGGTGCCCGCCACCCCCTCCTCACAGCAGCACCCAATTGCATAAACTGCGGAAAAGTAATATGTGTGAAGGAAGGGCTGGGCCCCTGTACATTCTGCGGCGAAGCAATCCTCTCCGCAGTCGAAGTGCAGGGCATGATAAAAGAGCTACGAGAGGAGCGAGGGCGGGAGAAAATGCTTCTTGATAACTCGACGCACCGCCGCGCCGAAGTCTCCAAGAAACCGATGGCGTTTCAGGCGCCCAAAGAAGTGCCGATGAGTCCAGCCGAGGCAGCCGCGAAAGAGCATCGCGACCGTCTGCTGGGATTCCAAGCTCAAAATGCGAAGAGGACGACGGTTCGAGACGAAGCTGCAGATTTCGAGACGCCGGTCACGGCAGGTGCTAACATCTGGGCGAGTCCGGCCGAGAGAGCGCGGACGCTGAAGAGGCAGCAGAAGGTGCTAGCGGAGCAGGAGTGGAGCGCGCGACCGGAGTGGGAGAAGCGGAGGCAGGTGGTCAGCATCGACCTGGTGAAGGGGAAGGTGGTCAAGAAGATGGCTGCTGTGGAGAAGCCGAGCTTTGAGTTTCGGCATAGTGATAGCGAAGAGGAAGCGGAGGATGTTGCGTACCCGCTGGCGGAGGTTGGTGGGAATGGCCACGGGAAGGGGAAGGGGACGTTCAGTCGGAACCCGTTGATGAAGGGACTGATCAAACCCGTGTATGGAAATGGAAATGGGAAAGGGAAGGGGGCTGCTGCTGACGGGGAGGTGGTGCAGAAGCGGAATACATGGCGGAGGGTCCAAGACTCGCTCGAGGACAACGAGGAGATCATCCTTGACGGAGGAGCTTTTGGAGGGAGGGCAGGCGATAGGAGAGAGATTGACGAGCCGGCCTACTCGTGATGATAGATAGATAATAGTAATCTATGCAGATCCGCGTACCTGGATAGTAACCACACCCACACGTCAACCGACAGAGGCACTACACACGTTGCATTCATGCATGGTATCTTTTCTTCTCTTACCTTGACACACCACATCATATCATATCCTACTCACTACCGTACTCACTCACTACCTCAATAAGTAAATGGGTAAGGTACCTAATAAGCATACCCATTCCAGACCTCTCTTCTCCTCTCTTCTCTTCTCTTCTCTTTCTCTTCTCTTT